AACACCTCGTTCTGATTATGAATACGTTTTGGAGCACTAGCTTCTTATCCGTCTTGTTTTCATCAGCCACCATGCCACAGACACAAGTCGACCTTCCGCTATTTTTCTCGGTGTTATGCCAGCTACATCGACCGCTGACCCAACAGCTTCATCATTGGGTCGTTCTATCGTGTTGTTGAATGACCAAATGTCTGTCTGTTGTTGACGGGGATCCGACTGCTAACTCGCATGCCCCCTGTTGTGTTTCAAAAAGCCACATCGCCAACCCATTGTCTCTTCAAGTCACAGGCGGCCACTTGCAACATGATCTCCAAGGGAGACTTGCGAAATTCTTCTTTCCATCGCTCTTCCCGACACTACTTGTTGCTTTACCTCAGCCTTAATGGTAGACCAGCACTCCACACCATAAATCATGGCGGGAAGAACGGAAGAGTTCTTTCTTCGAGGGTATGGAGAGTTGGTTATCCGGCAGCGATATTTTGATATAATTGTAACTTACTTATGCCACCTTCCTCGTTCTGCAGATCTCCATGTTGTTATCAGACTCTATTCGGTGGCCGAGGTATACGTAACTATCGGCTTTCTCTACTTCTTCACCATCAATGAAAATGGCACCGCGGGGCATTGCTCGTTGAGCATACACTTCGTCTTGGACATGTTCATTTTTAGACCAACGTTTCGTTCTCCACTTCCAAACCATGAACCGATGAAACTCCTCTGTAGCAGGGCGTCTTCTGCATTAAGCTTTCCAATCCTTTATAGAACTGCTTCATCTCTTCATTGTCCGCATACCACATTTGGTTGTAAACTTCGGTTATCTCTAGTGATATCGCCTTGTCCTCCTGCAGGATTAGCTCAGCAACACGAAATGATGTGAGGTCGCAGCTGATTGCCAGCGGCAAAGTCTTTTTCTTAACGATGCATCCCCAACCGCCCATATGAAAACGGATTTCATACGCTTTCCCGAGGAATAACAGTTAAACGTTTTCCATCGTGCGATACGCTTGGGGGATCTTCGGAGTTCGTACATGCTGAAAACAACCTCACATCAGTGATGTTGCTGACTAAGAAAAGCTTGATGATATTCTTTTACCAGTCGCATACTGACCATCACCGGCTGTCGTTGAATAATCCTAGTTTCTGGCAAGCCAACGCGGTAGCCTGCACTCATGGTCCCCGTTATTCTTCAGTGCGTAGCGTATTTGTTGGCGAGTTTCGTCAGTAGTTCATTTAGGGCGCCAACCTTTGTCCTCCACTCTCTTCAACCAACCCATTAAGATCCGAATGGAAGACGTTTAGTGAGCTTTTAGTCGTGGCAAGGTTCACTGACTAGTGTAGAACCTCATTTTCTCACCCTCATTGACCCCCCCCCCGCATATCCACCCGATTCATTATACGGAGGTGTCCAAA